GCAAAATTTGATCCTGCATTTTTTTCTTTTTAGGACACCTGCTGTACGTTAATATAAAAATAAGAATGATTATTATCATTAACAGATAAAACAGCATGATATACTTTGTTTCAAGTAACATTGTAGTAATAAAATTTCGTGATTCGACGTCATTTTTTATGGCAACAAATATATTTGTTTTTGATACGTGCAGTGTTAACACTATGTTCATAGAATTATATACAGAAAATTTAAATGTTGTTTTCATAACTTCATTCTTTAACAATCTTTAAATAATATTCTCTACAGACGATTCTAAAAATTACACATTTTTCCAAAGCACAAACAAGATAACATTTTTTACTAATTTTTTTTTAATTTTCCCAGGGAGGGACAAATAAATAAATTTTAATCAATTAATAATGAACTTATGACGGTGTCCTATTAGTTAAATTTTCATTGTCCGATATGTAGATTCACGACAAATTATAAAATTTCATCCTAGAAATTTTATTTTGGCGGAACACGTATACATACGCTTAAAATATGGGTACACTATTAAATTAAATGTAAAAGAATGTCACGCTATAAATTTTAAGTGAGTTTGAGCCAACAAAATTGCGAGATGACCTCAGCAGTTCGGATATTCCAATTATAAATTCTCATGAGAATGTTGGGCACCTCCGAAACTTTAAAAAGAAATAACTATTCAAATTATGACGTCTGATAATATTTGATTGTTAAATAATCTTATTTTTGACGGTTTTACAAGGTAGGCAATGACCATCAGCAGGAACTGCCACATAAATAAGCTTGCCTACTAAAACTATATCATCTTTCCTTTGATTTATAGTCGGAAATTAAATGTAGGTACATACAGAAAACTTTTAAAATTTAATTTCTTACATTACCAAAATTTTAAATATCCATTGTGAGCTTGAGATATAGCAATGTTATCGACAGCAAGTAATTAGGAAAAACGTGTTTGTGTAGATTATAACTGATTTGCTTTTGTTTAATTGTAACTTTGTAGCCGACATTATCTTAAAAATTGGGTGCACAGGTCTAAATTCAAAAAGCTATAGTTTGCGTATACAGAAAACCGAGGTAACCTATCGAAACAAGAAAAAAATACTTTCCATTTTAGCTAACCTTTCATCTCTCTGAAACATTCTATTTCTAGGAATTTTCAACCAACTGGTGTAGAGCTACTGACTAACAAAAATAAACAAAATCGAAATAACATCTTATAATCACGGTAAATAAATAATTTTACTTTGTATCTAACAGTAGTTGCATATATATAATAATTTCTACTAGATTTATTTATCATTCGTGCTCTCAATCTATGTGTAATTTTAACAAATTTACTCCAATACTTTTGCAATTAATCAGCAAAGGATAACACCTTGAATTTAACCTTGCATGAAATAAACCGTTGCATTTCTCCGACAAATAATTTTGCAGCCGGACTTTGTAAATCCGCAAGCGAGCACGAAAGAAATAAAATCGGAGGCAAACACAAAAGGAAACGAACATAGTTGAAAAACACTTTAAGTGGAAAACACAGCTTAATAATCAAAAGTAATCCCGATGACGGTAACACTGATACATCCGTCAGATGCAGATGGAAACACGAATGCAATTCTCTAAATCCTGCGAACATGACTTGCGGCGATTTCAAAATACACAGATTCAGTGCAAACAGGTAAATAACGTTCAAATAAACATAAATAGTTGGGCTCGACCGCACGATTCTCGGATGAACGGACAATAAATTAAACTGGATCTAGTGAAAAAGTAAATTTACCACAGAAATGCGAAATTATTTGATGTGGCCAACGCACGTGAAATAATTCAGCAACACCAATTAATTTTTTAGACGAATTAACTACTCATAAAAATAACAGCTGGTTAACCTAAAACATTTCAAAAGTGGATTGTAAGCAGTTCAACTAGACTCACAAGCATTTATTTTAATAAATTGTTCAACGGATTAGCCTTCACCTGATTATCCGGTACGATAGCGTTATCTTGAATATTTTAAAATCAGTATACATAACTAGGGAAGGATGAAAATGCTTGTGTCAAACTAAATATGTACTTTCATTTTGAAACCGAAGGAAGAAATGTCGTAACAAGTAAATTCATAGTATGTAAATTTGTTTTTATTAAGTATGTAACGTAACAATGTCTTATCAATTAAGTCCTGAATATAATTACTGTCGAAAACATAATGCATTCTACGTGTTACATAGTACGAAACAATACAGTGCGTACTCAAAACACCACAATGAGCTGCTATTTTCTCACAATTACTTAATTAGAAACTATTTATTGTTTATTATTAAAAAATCCCTACAGGAATTGTAAAGAATAATTGTAGCTTGTCACGTCAGGTTCTCTTCGTTTTTTTTATGCAGATATTTACTTGAAATTATAATATGTTCGTTTTACTTATACCCCAAAGATTTAATCAACTTCTTGCGTCAATGGGGTACTGTCATTTTCAACCACAATTGATAAATTTATGACAATACTAGACTAATCTCGTTACTCGATTTCGCATCAATACATATTGAAAATGAAAAATCCGACTCTAACCAGCAGGTACCAAAGAGTAGTATTCGAACCATAAATCTTGTCGATTACTCATCTTCCGTCCCATCGTAACGAGAGTATTATCAACGATAAACTTTTATGGTGTAGAAGTAAAACGAGCAGAGCCGAATAAATGTGTTAGTCATTATATAAAACCTTCGTTCGTTATCGTAGCAACAACGTTTTCACACATCCCTTTGAATAAGACCATAAGGTAGAAGCATTCCGCCTCTAATTGCTAATTAACGTATCCAGGCACAAAGTTTAACATTCGGAATTGCAGAGCAGTATGCAAAGTGCACTTCATTTTAGAATACGATAAATTTCCACCCCAAGAGCGTAACATTCAATATACAACTCTTTGAAACTAATTTCATTATTAACTATAAAATTTCAAAAGTTTGTAAAGAAGCATTCCTTCGTAATTTATCCTCCCATCCAGTTCCTTGTTAAAATGTTATTAGTTTAAAAGTCACACTTCGTTCAGTTTTAAATGAATATTCATATACAAAGCAACTACTTCCGAGATATTTGCTAACGCAGAATCATAAATTTTATAACGCGAATATTGATTACCTAATTTCAAGACATCAACCTATCATTTACTACTTCTAGTCCAGTTTATAGATACTGGTCTTCCAAATTTCACTTACTTAATGATATGAAAAATATTCAAATGTTCCTGCAGCTCGATTAAGAAAACAGATCGTTTATGTAATATCTTATACTTGTAAAATGATAAAATTAAAAGCTCCTGACAACGTTGAATGTTTAGTAACAGCCATTTAATTATTTTATTTCAGACCACTCTGTTATGAGTGTTATATTTAAATTAGTATATTTGAACTAAAAATGTAACCACTGTAAATCTCCCAATGTTGCAATGTAGAAAAATTGCATTATATAAAGCTCCTTGTTTCGCCGAGTTGAACAAAATATTTGAGTATTATTACAACCGTTAATTAGCAGTTCTGATGTCCTGACATATTACGAAGTGTGAACAAAAACAGTGATGCATAAATATCGTTACACAATTTTCGGCCATGAATATTTCGACTCTTGTTTAGCCACAACCCCACACTAATTCTGTAATAAAATTAGTCGCTACAAAAAGTTTTATTTCCATGTTGAAGACACAAAATCAATATCCACCAACTCTCGCATCCAATTTGCAGTTTGTAATAGAATTTAAACAATGTGGTTTTGTGACAGTTAGTAATTTACTCTGATTTGAAGAACTCTAAATTGAGATTTGCCAAACCAGCATAAATAATCAGCAGAACTTTTAATTTCCTCTTTTTTAATCAGCGTAAACCGTTACTTAATTAATAACATAACACAATCCCATCACGCACTCACTTTTAACCATCTGCGTTCCACGTCTTGGAACTGTGTCAACATTTTGCTTTCTAAAACGGTCATTTCTGGGCGTCCCGGACATACAAAATTTATATTATTTATTTTGGCTAATGATCAGATGAAATTTTGCAAGTAACTTTTGCTGTTTCACAAATTTTGATCATGCTTATTTCCGCTTTTTTTTCTCTTTTCAACATTTGGTACAGTCACCTGTTGACCACTAACAAGGTCACGGCAAAAAACGGTCACTATCCACCAGTCTACCACTCATTAACTAAATCCTGTTAATTTAGTAACGCGCTCCAAGGTTGGTTACAAAATCAAGCTCTCGCATTCGAAAAGGAAGCAAACTCAACCGTCGCTTTTTTGATCGACTAATGAACGAGTTTAAATTATAGGAAAACGAAAAACGCCACACGAAGTCTTATTCTTTGTTTACGTGATACACTTTCACCAACATATCGGTCGTCCTTCACAGTTCATGATTCTCGTGATGACTTTTAGATTGTCGTGATTTGATAATGTTCGCAGTGCACGATGGAATGCATTCTGATCAATAAACGTCCGGAAACGTTCACAATTTCTTAATTTATGGAATGCTTAATAGCGATTTGAACGTGAAAATTGACCAAATTATCTCATTATTTTTGAATTGCTTAACGTGACTACAATGAAACAACAATCGTTAAATTATACAAAAATTAAAAGAACAGATATAATAATGTTGTAAAACACTGACTTGACCCAGTTCCAAGTTTTGGGAAACTTCAAGGTTCACTTGTATGACATTTTATGGTACAACGAAAGTTGACAGTTATTCGTTTCGAACAAAAATTTTCATTTCTCACACAAACCGAAATATGCAATGAAGCATAAAGAAGGAAATTTGCTTTCACTAAGATGTATATCAACATTCTGTAGACCTGCTATGTGTACGCGAAACAGAGAGAAAGGAAGTCTTGAAATTTACATACATGTACTCTCAGAATATACACACTCTCGGTACTTATCTAGATTCAGTGATGTAATAAACTGTATTAAATTGAGTAACTGTGTTGCAGCATTCCCTGATATACTTTACGGAATTACAACCATTCATCATGACAAACCAGAAGATTCACGAATATCCAAAATGGCCACGAAGATGACGGAAGCAGGTAGTAGCGAAGTGCCATCAACCGTATTCCCAGAGCGCCACAAGAGACTTCTTCCGTATATAAACTACTACTTAGGTCATAATAACGGAAATCCTTCACGTGAAAAATTTACGCCATTTTTGGACAGTAACGCTTTACCAGGACCCTTTATTCCGATTGTTAAAACTACTCCCAAAAATATAGGATATGGACCAGAACCACCTGTCACTGAAAAAAGTCCTAACTATGCTGAAATTTACGAAACGTTATCGCAACTCAAACAATCCCAAGATGCAATGAGACATAACTTTAATCAACTCTATAGGAAACCTCCAATGAGCTACGTACCAATACATTACTACGAAGACGATTCTTATAGTAGTATACCATCACCGCATAAAACTATTATCGAAACATATACACCAACAAATATAGATATTGAACTTGACGATCGAAAAAAGTACCAACCAATTACAAACATGGAATATAAAATTTATCGCCAAAAACCACAAATTGTAGATTCATACGTGGTGGATAAGCCAGATGAAAGCTATGGCCAACCAACAAAACCATATTTTGGTGAAAAACTGATCGTTCCCAAACCAATTGTCGTCTATGAACAAAAACAAGAATATACACAAAACGAAAAACCCGTGACCTACATAGAAACAACACCAAAACCACAAGTCAACACGATCATTGATGAAAAGTACATTGCTCAAAAATTTGTTCCAATTGAAACTACTCATGCGGAAATTTATCCGAAGGAACCAGTAACTGTACAAAAATTTATTCCTGTTGAAACCACACAAGAAGCTACATATCCAAACGAACCCGAACAATATGTCAGTGAAAGACCTGCATATGTTCAACAGTATTTTTCGTCTGCGACTCCTAACGTTCCTACTGAAAATACAAACATTTTGGCAAAACTTTTAAAACAACTTCAAAACTCCAACACTCTGCCACAAACACTAACACCTCAAAATATAGACAACAGTATTCGAACACTCGTTAAGATTTTAAACGGCTTACGAAAACAACAAAGGCTTAAAACTAAGCCGAACGTTGTAGTAGAAGAAGATTCTCAAGAAGAAGTACGTGAAAGTGAAGAGGTTGTTGAAAAACCGTTGGCTGAAAAAACATTTGCTGAAAAAACGATTTTTACTCCTGGATCGTTTACTCAAGCTTTTCCTGCCAATACTATAGATGGAGGAACACCAGGAAGACCTGGAATTGATTATCCAGCATTGTCTTCCATACCACAAACAGATTTCAACTGTAAGAAACAGCGATATAAAGGGTTCTTCGGGGATCCGCACACAAACTGTCAAGTAAGTTTAATAAAATTTAAATTAAAACGGTGAGGATAAAACAACAATGTGCAATAAAATATTTGTATGCCATGATAAGCAAAAAGCTTTATTAAACAAACTAATATACGAACAAAAAACGTCCTCGAATTAAGGACGTTTTTTGTGGTCGCACTTTTAAAACTTCCTCATTAGACCGGGTGTGTTGCTATGGTAGTGATCTAACTTTTTTTTCTCGGTAGAACCAATGTTACTTTTTTAATGTTGGACTTTACAGTGTTAACTACGGTTGTAGAATAGATAGGTTCATACACTAGCATATATCCGTGTTTCCCCGCCGATCGCATCGCCTTGTTTCAGAGGACCAAAGGAACCAAGATCCGACTCCGATCAAATGTCATTTAAAAATTTTGTATTGTTAATCGCCAATTACAAAACACTGTAAACGAACGTCGTCAAAGCAATTATGTAAAATGATTTCCGTACTACACGGTAGAGGCGCTAAATGTACGTTTACTTTCCATGGATATACAGCCTGTTATTGAAAGGTACGTACAAAATAAAATCGGCAATTGGTCTCGAGGTATGGGTGCTAAAAGTTAAAAAAAGTTCAGGTAAAAGTGTTCTCCTTTTAGAGATAAAAATTATTAAAATTTATGTCCAAATTCGTTGTATGCCTCTGATAAAAAGATCATCTTTCGTTTCTATAGCAACATTTAGTCTTGACAAAAGTTTTATTGTTACAGTTGCTAGGATTTACTAAAATAAATTAATTTTACCTATTTATCCTTCAGTAGCGTCTAAAAAGATTGGATAAGGGTTAATTTTCCCCTTAAAATTTTGATAAGACAAAGTAAGTTTTTCCGACTTCTTAGACTTCGCGAAGAACTGTCCATTTTGTTGTACGTACCTTTCAATAACACCCTGTATATAGGGATCAGCAAAAAGCGTCGGCATCCCAAACCGCAGTGTACAAACTTATTTATTCTACGACCGTGGTTTCAACATTTAAAAATTGTGGCAGGTTGTCAAAAAAAAAACTCGGCTTTACTACAATTGGTGTGTGAAATTACCATGGCTTAGTACCATATGATAAAAAAAAACTCGTCTAGTAGACCGTGCAAATTATATTTAAAATAATGATGTTTGCATTGCAGCTATTTGACATTTTATTTGACAATTATTTGATCGTAACTATCAAACTAAACAAGGAACGTGTTGGTCTTGCCAACATCATTGTTTTAAAAATAAATTGCACGGTCTACTAAAGAGAGTGTTTTTTTTCCCAATCATATGGTAGTTAGTTTTATAAATTGCAACAAATTGGATAGCATATTTCAAATTTCCAGTAAATTTTTCGAACAAAATTCCCAAATCTGGTTTGAGGAATATAAAAAAATTTGTCTCATATGATTATTTTTGTCATCGTGTTTATGCACAAAGATCTTACAGCATTTGGTGTTGTTTGTTTTGTCACCATTACGTAAAAAACTAACATGTCGAATCTTTTAGTTTTAAGAACAAATCTTAAATTATTTTTATTCATGGCTACATTTAAAAATGTGTGGTTCTTAATGTTGGAAACTTTAATAATGAGATGGACAATACTAAAAGTTGGCTAAATGCCCTTCAATAACAATATGGAACCTTTCTAGGATCGGGTGATGCTATCCCCTTTGTCAATAACCATTTTAGAAACAATTTTTAATTTTCCTTTAACAAATCAATTCATTTTTATCCATCCATAAGATTTCTTGACATATGGACAAAAATGAAAAATAAGACAGTCGGTATTTACACGTGTGTTTTGTAATATCCCTTATTTAAGGACGTTCCAAAGCATTAAAAATACTATTATTACTTTATAAATAGTATCTACATCAGAAATACACTGTACAATACAAGATCTATAAAAACGTGTTCGGGAACATCATAAAATTAATGATACAGTGCAAGAATCGCCCTTTTGTATCAAACGGGACGAATTTTAATTAGTAAAGATGATTAATACTTCCGCTGTATAATATATAAAATTTATAGATTAGATAATACAATTTTCTAACAAATTTGACCTTTTTTTGGACCTATATTGTAATAATGCCATTCTATATCAGAAAAAAAGAAAAGAAAAATGGGTAAGTAGTCGTATTTAATAAAAAGTCTATTAATTTCTACGATACCGGAAATGCTGCAATTAATTTTATAATATGGCTTGTACTTTTTGTTATAGAACTCTATATTACATAAGTAATTTCCTATATATGTAGATATATACATAAAACGGTTAATCTTTGAACACGGTTACAATGCTTACGAAATTCGAACTCTCAAAAAAATTCACAGAAAATGTAAGCTCTACCTTAACAAAGTCGAACACGATTTCGTTAGCTTTTTTTAATTAAATTTATTCCACATTATGTACCAACGTTTTTTAAAATGTTGCAAAATGTTCCTACAAAAAAACGTTTGTTATTCCAAGGTCTTTAAAAAATTGTTAATTTCTTTATATACCTTTGAATAATGATTCGTAACGGTTGTAAAGTGCTGTCATATTTAATTTAATAAATCCATCTTAATTTGCCAAACTTCTTTTCACTCGTAACTTCTAATTTTCAGTTTCGAAAATATGTATTTGACTAAATGAATCACATCGAAAACTAGTTCTTATTGAACTTGTCCTTTAAATTTGCCCCCCTTTATTTTTTGTTGGCATTTCACTACTCGCTGTGCACAAACCGTGTATTATTCACCTAACAAAAACTCATTTCACCCACAACAAATCCCAACTCGTAACAAATTGCAGGTGTGGCATTATTGTGACTTAAATGGAGGTCAAGCATCATTTTTGTGCCCTAACGGCACAATATTTAGCCAAGTAGCGCTGACTTGTGATTGGTGGTATAACGTAAAATGTTCATCAACAGCACAGCTATACGTACTTAATGAACGACTTTATAAGTACATTCTTCCCCTGGCACCTAAATTTCCGGAAGATTATAGCGGTCCTCTGGTGGACAGGTAAATATTAAAAATGATCTGAGATTTGCTTTTATGGAGAATGATTCAGGTACCTTGCACTCAAATTTCAAGAAATGGAAGAAAAAATGAAAAAACAAAAGAAAAAGGAAGAGAAAAGCGAAGAAGATAAGGATGATTCTGATCAGTTGCAAGATATTCAAAATGAGAGAGCCAAATCTTCGGAAGAAAGTTAGATCACCAACAATACACGACGCCGCAGCCACGTATCATCTGTACTTCTGTGATTTTTACTTATACACAAAAATTTAGTTTGGTTTTATTAATTAGGTGTCTACGGTAGTTGGGTACATTTTTCATCAAATTTTTGTATATAATGTTTAAATCAGAAGAACTGAAATTGTTGTGTCGTTGCAATGAATGTGCCAATTTGGTTAAGTTACGGTCCAAAACAACACTTAATTTTCAAACTCAGTTGTAATAAAAATCGCATCTGGTTATGTTGAATATTGCAATTTTTTTTATTAATGCGAAAATACTTCTGTGACAAACTAAGATATGCATGCCACCAGTTAGTAGGAACAAAATTGGCGTCAAATTAAGTTTTTAAGTACATATATCATACACATTAAAACAGTATTAAGGAGGCAATTAGTTTAAAATTCCACTAATTATTTTACTGCAATAGCTGTGTGAACTTTTTATTAACAAATTGGTAATTTTTTGTTAATTAAAATTTACTTTACTATGGAAATGATTTAAGCGGCATAGATATAATGCAAACCATTATGTTGTTAATTAAGTTTAACTTGCGTAAAGTTGGTTAAGCTGCCATAGGTAGTATAGAAGATAAATTTTAATAGTATTAATTTATTGTTAAATGAGGAGGTTGTTGATTATTTCTAGTCATTCATCACAACTTATCCCCAGTATTGGGAATTATTTATTTAAGAGAAAAGTATTTTTGAAGAAACGTTAAAGCAATGTATAGATTTATTTTTATAATTCCCTAGTGTTAAATGTATCTGCCTAGGCAATATACCTATTTGTTATTACTATATCGCTGAACACACGTTATTTCTGGTGTTTAATAAAATGTTTATTTCATTATGCATGTTTATGTTTTTTCTTTTTTTTTTAATTTACCACACATGTCTAGTAAATTAAAACTTTACTAAATCAATTGGGTTTCCACTTTTTACACTGGAAATGGCGATCAAAGTTGAAAAAAATTAAACCAACTGTATAACAACTGTAAACCACTGAAAAGAACTTACCTTTTTGGATACCAGCAGCTGGGCTAACACTACTTCTATATCAGTTTTGAGTTTGTCCAACTGGGTCATTTCTGAATCAGTCTGTAATAAAAACATATGAACTAATGTTTAACAAAAATAATAAAATACCTACCAATTTATACAAATAAGTGGCTTTATGACCTGCATGATTTTCAATGAAGCAATATGAACAAAACGTAGCATAACATTCTTCACAATGAATATTAACAAATTGTTCACTGTGTTCAGCACATTTATCAAAAACCAGAGACAACTGAACCTTCTCATAATCATCGTCACTCTCTTCTGAATTTGCTGTAAAGATACTGTAAGTTTTCAACATGAATTGCACATAAAACTATTACCTTCTGCTTCAAAATCCAATTCATCAATGTTATCACTGCCTAGATGTCTCATCTGTTGTCTATTTCCCAAGGTAACGCCTGTAGACACCCAAGTCATCGGCTTCTTACTTGTACTATTTTTGACCCACACTAACTGTCCAATAAGTGCAAAATGAGGTTGAAACAAGTCTGACAATGACTCTATCTGTGATCTGAAGACTGAGAATTTTTCCTTACAGATGGGGCACATCATAGTATTGCTCAAACACATTCTCTTAATGCAGTCTTCACAGACTGTGTGTTTGCAATTCAAAATAAGGGGGATCTTCGTAACGTTGGCCCTTTCTACAAATCATGTATTACTACATTTGAAACCTTGTTAACTCTACCTGACTTACTAATGCAGTCGTACTGTATCTTGCAGCGGGGGCACTTGTCGTATGTCATGTCTTTGGACGCATTGTAGATGTTAACAGGCAGCCCATTGGGGCCACTGCCAGTAGTTCCATCGCTGGTACAAGAAGCTAACGAGCTTGTTGACATTTTGGATTGATTTGCGGGTTGTTCCCTTTGCTATAATAACAGTCGAAATTTTAAGATTTCTCACACACAACTTCAAGAATCGTTTTCAGTTTAAATTCCAAAAAAAACAAACTACAATGTTATGTTCATCATGCGCCGCATTGCCGGATAATTTTCTGACGATAAACAAACGTGACGCATGTGCACACACTTCACACTGCCGTGCCGTGCATTGCCATTGATTGATCGAGTTGAAACGCGGTAATTTTAAATTAATTGGTGGTTGTGCAGAGACATGCAGTGTCTCGACCAGAAACAGAAAGGGAGCTTTTATTTTATGAAAACCTAACTGAAAGTAAAAATACTGGATTATATGCATCTATGTTTTAACGCTTTTCGTAATCTGAGTTAAATTAATCAATAATAATTAAAAGTGAAAAATATTTTCTTGTCTGTTTGTCAGTGAGATCAGTTTTAATAAATAGTTTTTTCTTAACTATATCCAAAAATTAAGAAAAATAATAGGATTTTATTAAGTTGGAAATTCTGGTTCTAAATCTGCAATCAGTTTTTTTTTCTGGCACATTATCTAGATAGTAGACACAAATATAATACACTGCCAGACAAAAGATCCCGGACTCTTGAATATTTGTAACTTTACGCTAATGTTTAGTATATAACATTTTGATTTTTTTCTGTTTTCGTATGTTTTATAATAAAGTTATGTTTTCTGTTAATGAATACATTAATGTTTTGCTTTTTGGAATATTTTTACAAAAGTTCGACCAAATGCAGGTATATAATCCCAAAAACTTCAAGTGTCTGGGTTTTTATGTTTAGTAGTGTAATATGCGTGCATGATTTGGAAATATTGGAATCGGTACCATCGGTGGACAAAAAAGGGGACACAATTGGTAATTATTAATTTCAAGATTATCTAATAATAATTAATTAATTAATTAATTTATGACGTGGTTGACACCGAGGAAAGCATTCCGAGGTATTCATCGGTGTTAGATAAAACTTTGAAGAACGATTTACAGTGCTAAAATTTCAGTGTCCCAATTTTTTATCTCCACCGATTACATTTTTACAAAAACGTGACCATGTCAACGAACTACATGACATTTCCATTTATTTTGTTAATGTTTGTGGGGCTATACTGAGTGACAAAAGTAAAAGAACACCAAGAAGGAATTATGATTTTGGAATGAAATTTTATATGCAGATTAGGGGTTATCAAAATAAGAAGTGGCTAGAAATCAATGTTATCTGTCCAATAGTTATAAGAAAAAAAATTGTTTTTCATAAAAAAAAATTATTCCTTTTTAGTGTTCTTTTACTTTTGCCACTAATAAGTATATTTATGGTTAACTGATGACTGACTGATTTTACATCTTTGATAATGATTTATATACATTGTTGTTCCATTTCTATTGAAACACCACTTGTTGATCGTAAATTTACTAAATTTTTTGCAAAATCAACAGATGATGTTTCAATAGTAACGGCAAAGACAATATGTTATGTAAATACCTTATTTTGTATAATTGTCCTTGCTAGAAAAAAAAAAGACTAAAAACAGATTTGTAGTCAGCAAAAAAAATTAGACTCGGAAAGTATTTTTTCATTTCTGATAAGGTAAGTGTACTTTTGCTTAACTCTCCGTAAAATACTGCAACACAATGTTAAAAATAACCCTTTTGCAATAACGTAGCAATGTCCCATTGAAATTTAAAAAATGAATTGTGGCCAAAAAATCTATAAAAGAAGAGGTCAGGCAGAGTACGTAAATATATATAGGTTGTTCTAATTAAAAAAAAAAGTTTATTACGTCTCAAGAAACAAAACACTCGTTACAGTTGAAAATAAGAACCATACAACTTTTTTTTGTCTGTGATAATTAATAATACGATATCGAAGAAAATGCACTTAGTGACTCACCCTGTATTTTACATGCACGTGTAATGAGTGAGAAAAATAAATAGTACAGAATCAATATAAAGTTCGAAACGAATTTAAAAAACATCACCAGCAAAATTCGCAACGGTTTTTTTTCTTCGCCGCAGCTTCAAGTTAATTTTAAAATTTTCTACTTTACGAAATACTGCCAAATTGTATAGTCAGGGAATCTAAAATAAATCACTTTATTTTTAAAACCACCATACAATTATTATAATAAATATTAACTTCTGCCAAATAACGTTTATTAATTTTTAATTATTAATTTATCTGCATATTAGCTAGACTGAGATGAAACAGATGAAGTGGCATTGAAAGTAGGACCAGGGAGAAAATTTAGACGCATTTTCGGGGTATTATTGTATTATTTATCTACAAAAGTGAATTCTTTTATGGCGAATCCTTTGATTCCTTTGGCGGCTTTAAAATTTAGTTCTGCCATTTTAGACTTCCCTAACTAAGTACCTATACATATTCAGTTTGTTTTTTTAACAGAACTTCTTTTTTCATAAACATAAGGACCATGTTGAGGACCTTTTTATATCTCAAGGTATGCTGGCCGCAAAGATATGGCAGAGGTTTCATGACTTTGACTTTTTCAGTTCCCTGTTTTGTGAATAAATAGCATCTCTATTTAAATTTGAGATGGTATCATAAATTTGCATTTAATAACCTGCATAGGGTGGCAAGTGTAGTAAAGAAGTCAAAGTTGTAAAACCACCATATCTCTTGTGTCAGTATATTAGAAAACGTCTGTTCAGGTAAGTAGATTTAAAACACCCCTCTGTGACGGCTTAGGTAAAGTTTGTCTAGAATTATAAGAATTTTATGGACTCCCAGACTGTACTTGCCTGCCAGACTGCCTGGCGCGGGGCGAACATTGGCTTTCCCCTGACAGGCTCTTTAGCTGTACAATAAAATTGACGACAGGCCTGTAAAACGGATTAACTTTGGGAGTCCACAAAATCCTTATAATTCTAGACAAACTTTACTGAAAATATGTGAAAGTTAAACTGTAATTAACTCATAACCGCACTATATATCTGTGGCAAGTATAGCCACTTAAATAAATTTTAAAAGTAGTAGTATACTTAATTGGGGAAATTGAAAGTGCCAGCCCTAACTTTTAAATTCCCGTAGGATTATTACAAAAGTATTAACTCCTGTCAAATAATGATTATTCCCCGTCTATTTAGGATTACATATCTGCACAGACCCGAGATGAAAATAAGTAAAGCGAAAATCTATTCAAAGAAGAGCCAGGTAGAAAATACAGACGCGTTTTGACAGAAGTTAATATTGTTATGATAATACAATTGCGGGTTAGATTAAGTCTACGAGTTTAAATTTCTCCGAATATAATACTTGCATGATGTTCTTGAGTTACTTAAAGATATATACTTACGAATTGATTAAATCACTCATTTACAAAAAATATCTAAATATTTGAAACCATTCAACACAAATAATAATTCTTTTAGATAAGATTTTTCACAAGACATTTTAGAACAAATGAGACTGTTAAACTGTTTGATGTATTTTTAAATAGAAATTTGGTTATTTACTGTTTATTTGAAAATAGTAAACAAAACTAAGTTTTATTTCTTATGAAAAATAGTTTGAATTGTTGGACTTATTGTACCAATCATTATTCTTTCTGATACGATATCATTGCAATATTGTGATAGTAGTTTGCATTACAAAGTTTCAAAATTACAATAAATAATTCTAAATTATGTTCTAAACATTTATTTAATCCACTGATAAGAATAGTGTATGGGTGTAAGGATTAATATTTCATTTGAGCATTCATTTTCAAATTACATACACAATTTCTAAAATTTTGGAGTGTATTAATATTTTTTAAGCTTCGTTATGGGTTCATTTTTTTCTGCAATTTAGTATAATTCAGGAGTGTTCTGTTATTTATCAAAAATGAATCAGCTAAACCTAAAATAAAGATTCGATACGGCCAAATAGTAAACATCGACTTTCTGTTTATTTCATGGAAAGGCACTAATAAACCGTTTAGGATTATGGTAATGATAATTTACAGCCCTGACTCTCCGTCCGACTGTTTATCTCAAACTACACGTTTTAGGTTGAATGTCTCGGTATAGTGCTCCAACTGCTGGTTCGTTTTTATGACCTTATCCTATTGTGAAGGAGTTAAGTGTTCCACAATAGCCCTCTGCCGTAAGTAATCCAGCGGTCATAAACCGTCAAGGGACCAACTGTCTACACTACACAGGGCCGTATGCGTCCGTAAACCTTTAAGGTGATTTATGGTACGGCTATTTACATTTTCAATAGAGTTCCTAATACTTGCGGCAATTGAGATTGCAGTGCCATAAAAACGAAGTCAGAGTTGGACCACTATAACGTCTAATTCGCAAAACTCTTGGTCTTTTCGGATAAGCAATCCAAAAACAAGCAAACGATGTAAATGGTCACTATTATAATGCGAAGCTTTATTCGGCGTACTTTTGGAAAAAATAAACAGTATGGTCATTCTTTATACATCATATTTGTCTTGACATTATTTTTAAAAATAAATAATTATTATTTGTTTTCTTGTTTTAAAAATTGTTTTTAAGTAAGCTATGTATTTTTTTGTCAATTATTTTATTAGTTTCCAAAAACATTTTCGTCAGGACGATTAACAAGGGAAACATCAATTTTGATATTGTTTGGTGTGCAATGAGAATGACAGATTTTCAGATGAAGAAAATAATAACATGAATTAAGATAAAACAAAACGAATTGGAAATTTCTTTCAAACTAAATACTGTAAAATGTTTGATGTTTCAGAGAAAATAGAAAACCATTTAGTTCAATAATTACCATATTTTTGTAAGATACAGAGGTGTTCGTTGAAAAATACAGTTGAAAAGTTTTGTTTACCTACGTAAAAATTCAAAAATAACCAAATATTAATTAATATAGCAAAAATCTTAAGAACAATAATTCAAAAAACCATACTGTTTAACAGCAAAAATAACTCCAGCTCTAGACAAACCACTGTATTCCACAGAACGGTCTTTACGAAAAGCAGTAAAAATATAAGTACCTATTAGATATTAGGTATTTTTATTTGATATAAAGAATCTATATTGAAAGTAAACTATTAAGTTAGTATCTATTCCTATTAGACATACCTTTTCCAAAGACATTTGCTTCCAAAATTTAAGCTAACTATAGCAGCAACTGGTAAGGCAAGTTGTAGACCACAGA